CCTAAGTACAAGAAATATTTTAGCGAAGCGAAAGCGCGCGGTGCTAACGAACGTCGCTGAATTTAGCCGAAGACTCTCGGTTTGCTCAGCAATTAGCCGGCCTAGCCGAGAGGAATCCACGGATGGGCACACGCTCGTGTCCCAGGTATCGCCGTTGAATATTTCCGGCTCGTTTTTTATTCGCGTTTTCGTAGGCAATGGCTACCGAGAGGGAGGGAGGAAAAAAATGTCGTTTCGAGAAGCGGCGCCGCGGGTTCAACGGCCGCCATTTTTCGCGTCTCGAGACGCGGTCGAAGACGGCGATGGAACGAAGTGGCCATGAAGATAGACTTCGCGGAAGCGACCGTCGACCGCCGTGAATTTTCTTTATTTGCCTCGCGAAGTTGTCGTTGGATTTTCCACCTTGAAGGAACGCGTCGGGCAGCTTTCTTGGTTCTTTCGTTTCTTTCTCTGCCTCGGTACATCAAACACTTTACGGGCGGATCCGAGGAGGACTTCGAATTCTCCACGGGATCCGAGGACTTCGGTGACACGCCGCGATTCAACTGTCCGAACGTGAAATCCGCTGTTTCGTTCAATCGATTCGCCGATGGCGTCGTGTACATCGATGCGACATCGCTGAAGCGAATTCGAAAACTTGATTAAATATAGTTAATCGTTCGCTGTCACGCTGCGTCAAAATAAACTGCATTCTTTTTCGAAAAAAATGTGAGATTAACAATCGACTAAATGTACTTCGAAGTGAGATATCAGGTTCTAATAAAGGAAACGATGTTCTGGAATGTTCAAATTATATTCTCAAATTTTTAGGTCTCGATAGGATTGCTAGTTTTATTTTTAGAATATTTCTTCAAAAAACTAGATTATGCATCGAAAATTTAAATGGTGGTAAAAGTGAAGAATACATTTATCCAATTTTAATATTTATTTAATTTCATCGACGGAACAAAGTTTTTTCATTACAAACAAATTATAAATATTATATACATATATCTATTATCGAGATAATAGACAAGAGTACGTTTTTTGCAAGGCAGAAAAGAAAATAAGATTTTTGCAGGAAAGTAGGAAAGAAGAAGTAAAATAATGTACGCATTTCAAGGAGCATTTAAATAAGATCTTTAATTACCTGTAATAGCCAAAATAGCGAAGCGTTCTTGATCATTTGTTATACATATGCATGATCGAATTAAATGTGCTTGGATCTTCTGGAATGTCCTAATGTCGTCGATATGTCGACATTCGTCCTTGAACAGTAAACGCCACGTTCGAAGCTCTCGATCCGAAAGAATCTTCGTTCACCGCGTTCTTCGGCTAGATCGAAATCTGTTCAGGCCCCGGGCGAAAGGATCAAAACAGTAATCCGATGGCATCTATTTGTGAAGGTACTGTTACCAAAAAAATGAAAGATCATCGGCCCATAGATCAGAGAGCCGGGGGGACGAGCCGATCTTTACGGACCATTTCGTAATCTCACGAATCGTTCGACCGGCTATGCAGAACAGAGACTGGTCGGCACAGCCGCTAAATAGCTGAAAGATCGTCTATCTACGATCTCGTAATGATCGTACTGTACCGTTATCCTCGGTCAAGGTTCCCGGCGAGATCGAATTGGAATACGTCTCGTTTGCCGCGGCGAATGATCTATTATACCGGGTGTACCGCCCGTAAACACATTCTTTTTTTCGTACATGTTACCGAGACACTTTACATTTATAAATGAACCGATTCGTATGATTTATTAGCGGTCGCTCGTTTCAAGGTCAGCGAAAGTCGACGATTCGCCGGGCCGACTTTCGCTTGTTTCCCGACGCGTTGCAACCATGACGGACATTTTCGTCGAGGATTAGCGTCGATTAGAAACGGAGACGATAGAGCAGCGTGTTGGTAAACAGATGAAGTGTTCTCGGAAGTAGACGGATCCAGCTGACCTTGGAGAAGTTGATGTTACAGGTCGTGAAACTCGTCTTCATCGAAACCAGTATCATGCACGAGCAAACAAAATCTAGCGCGGTCGATCTAGGAAAACGGAGTTGACATTCTCAATCGTGGGGAGAAATTTCATCGGCGGGGCGTATCAAGTCATGGCGGTACACCCTGTATATATATTTCCGTCCCCTCTTTCTCCGGATCGGCGCCGGTAAACAATGATTTAGGAACTCTCCGCGACGTGATTATCGATGGGATTCTCAAGGATGTTAATTGCAGGCTCCGCTTCTGGGAATCGGAGATAGAGAATCGCGATGCAAATTCGCCGATCTGTACGCCGATGTTGCGCGCTAATTACTGGGATCAAGGAACTTTTCGATTAATCTTCCCTGTGGCCGCTATATTTCATGTTTTTTCTACTCGTTATAATCGCTTACAAAAGTGACGCACTCGTTCATCATCGTCGGAGCGTTTATTGTATCGAACTGCATAAAAAGAAAAAGGGAGACGAGAAAAGTGCAACGGCCAGTTATTAATTCTGCGAGAATAACCACTGATCTGAAAAATGCGCCCAGCAATTTCTCAGCTGCTCGAACAAGAATTGCTAAAAATGCAATGTTATTACAGATCAGCGCGCGGAACATCTTTATTTGAAAAGACGCCGTGATCGCGATGCTTTTTTGCTAAAAAACGCGATGCTTTTGCATTTTTTTTTAATATAACCGAGAGTTGTCGCGAATTTGTTTCTCTCAACTAGTTTCTGAATTAATGTTCGCGGAGTAATGATTTTTATATGTCGCAAAAAAATCATGCCAACTGTGTATTTTCTTTCCATTAAATATTATGTCCTACATTATCCGTATTTTTGCGATCAGTCATGCTAAAAAATAACCAATATAAATCGAAATACATCACATTTCAAACAATTCACATAAAATTGTCGTCCAAGCGAGTCTCGCTGATTTCGATGTCACTGAAATCAGTGCTTGAACAAAGAATTAGCTGCCACTTCGTGTGAATAAGAATTTCGAAACACGTTTGTAATTACGTTCAAATTTAACAGGAACAAATACACAGAAACGGATGAGTTCGCCGAAAACCGAGTGGCCAATTTAGATCTACGATTACGAAAGAAAGTTTACAAATAATGACATACATTTGGTCCCGCGTAAACAAATAGAACCATGCTGGCCAGGTTTCGAGGCGAAACGCTCGCTAATGAAAGATGCAACAGCGAGTTTATGCAGCTTCGGTAGCGCAACCGAAATCCGCGGTCGGCCGCAAGGTGCAACAGCCGGTCGCGGAGCGTTCGTGAAATAAAAAAAGAGAAGAAAGAAAGAAATGACGGATCGGCGAGAGATACCGGCGTGCAAATGGAATCCGTTGGATAGAGGAGGAATGAAAATGACTAGACGAGGACAAAGAAATCCGCGTGTACGCCGCGCCGGTGGAAGCGATCGCGCGCGAGGTCGCGGCACACGCTCGAGGGATACGAACGAGCGAATAGGTTGAGGGTCGCGAGTGGCCGTTGACCCTCCCAGGTATATACCTGCGCGCACCTGAGCGCCGAGCGTGGCTCTACGACCACCTAGGACAGACTAGAATCCACATTGGTAATAGCTTCTCTAGTCCGCCGACCTTCCCACTCGTAAAAACAAATATTTATGGACAGAATACACCGGGGAGACGCGACCGACGCTCACGGGGCCCGCCGGCCTCGAGTGCAGCTCTCTTATGGCAGCGCGGATTGTTAATTGGTCGGCGAACCGAGCCGCTCATTTTCGCACGGGGCAAGCACACAACCCTGCGCGAGAAAAAAAAAGGCGGTCTGACACCGTCATTTTTCTCGCCAGCCGCGCCCTCTCACCCTTAGCGACTCGCGTCTATTAACCCTTCGCGGTCGAGCAGCCATTTCAACTCGAATTACGAAATAGCTCTTTTCTGTCCTATTGTATTTCCACTGTACCTGGCGCATTTTATACGCGCGAAATTGATCTTTTGCGAGCCGTGCGACACTTACGCTTCTGATAATTTTTCTTTTTTTTTTAAGTATAAAGGATGATGTTAACATTCTTTTGAAACGTGATGCATTTTTTAAATGTGTCTGATTTGTGTCGCTCTTCAAGAATGACAAGAATTTATTCAGGTCCTCCGCTATTCTTGTTACGATATATGCTCGAATTGATTCGATTATTTTCTACGGAATAGTCTTTGCAATTTCAGCAATTTTAACGGCGGTTTTAGGGTTAATCTAATGCATAGAATGCAATCTTCGCGAACACTTGCAAAAGTTGATGCTCACGGATGTGACGCGTCACACATTGAGCGAGCATTATAATTGACTGAATGAATATAATAAAGTAAAATAAAATGAATAAAAGTCTGGCGGCTTCGACGTTGCATCAATTACTGCACGTTGCAATATTCGCAACGTCTGTTACAATGATCTATTAAGAAAAGTACACATTGTCGTCAGAATAGATTATTCGATGGCGTTCACAATAATTACAACTTCTTCTAACTATTCATTTCTGACGCAAAAATATCTTTGAGTTTAATAACAATAATAACGACAAATCCACGAGATGAGCCGGCAAATAAAAGTCACTTAACTGTCAATCAGCGGTTTCTATAGTTTTGCATCGGCGATCAATTATCGCTACCAACGGCCGCCATCTTGGGTCCCTCAATGTCAAGACAGCGTCGCGCAGCTGCATTCCAACAGACCTTTCCCCCGTTGCACTCGATAAGAGAAATTTCCGAGAAACGCAACGGAATTACCAATTATCGCCGGCGTCGATTTACCGATGATTGTCATTTACCCGACGCCGGCGACGAAGCGTGCCAGACAGTTTAATCGACGCCATAAAATTGCCATCGGATCTGCCAGAAGAATCCGCTGGGAAGCCTTGAGAGTGTGTCGGACCTCATTCTCGTCGTAACGATTTTTCTCGGCGGCCGAACGTCGACACGCTTCTCTTCCCATGCGCGATCAATCGGCGTCGATGATCGATGGCTCGATCGGAACCGGCCATTTCTCATGGGTTACGTCATTCCGACTTGTGTTGCAGTATCCAGCAGGCGCGACCAGCGAACTTTTGCCAGAGGACAGAGGAACGAATTATGCAGCGCCTGGAACGCTTCCGCCGAATGCGGAAAAGATCTCCGCGCCGGCCAAGGATCTACTCAGACGGCTGCTGCAGCCGGATCCTGGTCTCAGGCTGAGGTCACTTTTCGGCCTGCAGAGGATCGCGTTCTTCATGGGCCACGATCTGCAGAGCTTCATGAAGAAGAAGGTCTGTTGCAGAGTTTTTCTTTGCATTGTTTCACGATGCAACGTGATATTGTCGTTCGATGCCCATAAATGTCACTTTTGTCGAGTAACTTGGGTGTTTGTGGGACAGAAATGATTTTAGGAAATTCAATGGAAACGATTTTTGATGTTAAAACAATTTCTATTACCAGCTCTGAGACATTGATTTAAAAACATTAGTGCATTTCTGGCAAAAATGGATGGGTAACATTGAAAAGGTTCTAACTAATTTCACAAAATATTAAAATTATTATAGAAAAAAGATTAAATTTAGATCTTGCAATTTATGTAGAACATTTTTATTTTGCTTAAAGATCCGTTGTCTAATGATGATTGATATTCCAAGACCGGCATTAAAAAAAACGCGCGTGATTACATTTTTGTGCTTTACCGATGTCCTTAAGGAATGGTCTTATGCTAATAACGAAGATGATCTACAGGGTATCCCAAAAATGCACTCGCAATCCAGAAATGGCGGGTTCCTCGGATCATTTGAAGCAACTTCTTCCTTTACAAAAATTTTCTCCGAGGCACCGTTAACGAGTTATTAACGAAACAAACAGTGACCAATAAGAATCGAGTACGGCTGACGCGAGGCGGCCCAGCCAACCAGCGCACGAAGCCCAGTTCCGCTCATTGACTCGGTCGCCTCGCGCCAACTGAGCTCGCTTCTCATTGGTCACTGTTTTTCGTCAATAACTCGTTAACGGTGCCTCGGAGAAAATTTTTGTAAAGGAAAAAGTTGCTTCAAATGACCTGAGGAATCCGCCACTTTCGGATTGCGAAACATTTTTGGGACACCCTGTATAGGGCAAAGGAAAGCTTCCGCAGGATCGTATAGTTTCGCTTGAATTACAGGATTCGCCGTTCCGACTGCTAGGGAGAAATGTCCAGAACGATCAGGAGAGGATGACCAAGGAGTTCTCGGGCTTCGACACATCCCTCGGGGACAGCATCTCTCGCGCAGACGATCGATGATCTGACACGCAGCTAGTCTTTCAATTTCGATGTTTCAGCTGCAATGTACCGATCGATGTATCAATCAATGGACTGAGGCAAGCAGCAATCCGCTTGGAAACTTTGTTGCTCGTCAAGCAAACCCGATGCCATCCGTTACGTTCGTACAACAAGTATATCCTATATTTTGCATAACTTTAAGAAATCTGATTTTTATGAGTCTTCTCGCCGCTCGAACCATATCCAGCCTCGGTCAGAAACTATGACCAGAGAACAGTGTTGCAATTTCCAGCGGCTTTCGGTGTGCAAGAGAAAAATTGTCGAGCTTTTCTGCCTTGCAATGTGCAAAACAAGAGTCTGTGAAATGTATTCTGTCGTAAACGAAAATATATTCCGAGCAATCTAAGTGGTCGTCATTATTTTTTGTCGTTTCTCTCCTGGTTCCAGCGGTGTAGTAAATTCTCCCTAATTTTCCGCCAGCTTGTAAACAAAAATGGACAATTGGGGAAGAGAAGATACGATTATTCGAGCCTTACACCTCGTTTTTAGAATTGTTGGGAATCGGCAACTGTAAAAATGAGCGATTTTTGTGCATAATCTGAAGGAAAATTGTGGAGAATTGACTGCACTTGCTTAGTCTGAAGATCGATGGAAAAGTCTCTCATGAGAGGATATTTAATTATTTCGTTCTACAGGGTGACTTATTTGATTCGTAAAATTGTGAGGTAATTATAGACTTGATCACATCGTGGAACTGTAAAGTCCCCTTAGTTTCTTCTTTGAAAATCATGGGAACGAGATAACGACTTCAAGGGTGTTTGTACAGGGTGTTTCATTCGTGCCTGGCAACGTCAACAAACTTTAATTTCAAGTTTCTTTAAATACAATTTTTAATCTGCTTCAACTTCGATCAAGTTGAATCATGAATTACCGAAAAAATTGAATGAAATGGAAATTATTGGAAGAAGCTTAAAGTGTATCGATAACAATCGAAACACCCTGTACTCGAGGGAACAAGAACAGAAAACGCTTACACGCCGTCTCGCGACGGTGGTTTCTCAGTTTACAAAAGTTTTAATTTCTTTAAGAATAGTTAACAGTATTTTTGTTACAGTATTTCATCGATAATACAATAAATTGCGATAAATCGTAGTGCGTACAAACTAACAACAAAAAGAAAAATAGGAGAAAAGAAAACAGAACGGATCTGGATCGAATAAAACGCAGCCGTATTTTTTCTGGTTTTTTGTCCGGTTTTTTGCCCCCTTCGCATTTTCTTTCTTTCGATCATATTCACTCTACCTTCCTCCCCCTGGCCTCGATAAATTAACGCGGACGCACGCACAGGTGTGTTTCCGCGTCTGTTTTTCCCCGTCGCGGTCCGTGTTTCCCCGTCTTTCGATCGTTAATTTCGCGCGTCTCGATCTCTCCTTTCTCCTTTCTCGCAATTTTCATCACCATCGCTCGCGGATCAGTGTTTAATTGCTAGCCCGGCTCCGCGCGCCGTAGCTTGCTCGCGCGATCAATCGAAGTGTGTTTAATGTGTATATTGTGTATGCGCGCGTAGTGTGTACGTGTCTGTCTGTTTGCGTGTTTTTTTTTCTTTCTCATGGTATAATAATATATAATTATATATATATACATTATTATTCTTACACTTAAAGAGGGTCTCCCGATCTCTCGATAATATAATACAACGCATTCCTCCGAGTTCACGTAAACCGAGCGACGCGTCTGCGATCGACCGTTGCTCGATCGTTCCCGGGTCTAAAAAGACCCCTACTCTAAGTCGATGATCGATTTTGGTGTGTCCCTGACAAATTTCGTGGACATCTGAACGTTGCAATCCGCGCGGATATTTCCCAAGAACAATTGAATAAATAAGTATCGGTCGAGAATGAGGACACGATCATGGTTGTACATTATTCCCGACAAATATGGCCGCGAATCGGCTAACGCTTTGCCTACCGGTGAAGCTTCTCGATGATCAGAAGATCACGAACTTTCGTTTAATATATCGACTGCCAAGTTTTTCGTGGGTGTCGGTTGCGCGATAGCTTGAAAAAGTACTCTCTTAACTTCTGAATTTCTCTTTTATTAACCCTTGTCGCTCGCCTCGTTCAAGTCTCGCACGCGTCTCGAGCGAAAGTCTCACCCGGTCGTATCTAAACGTTGCAAAATCACTTCCTCCCCCCTCTGATTGTACATTACATATCGGTATTATATCTGCTATAAAATCACGAATGAGACACAGAGTCGAAGATCTTTCCGTATAACTATACCTAAGAGACATATGAAAATTCAATTTGAGCATTAAAAGTAAACGTTGGCACACAATAAATATATATTTTCTCTTGTTTCTAGGATATAATTACAAACTGTCGAGAGAAAAGATCGTAGGACAAGAGTTCAATGAAACGACTTCGATTTCAAGGAGTTTCTGAGCTCGCTGGGTTGGCAGTTGGTGAACGTTAAAAAGAAAACCTTTTTTAAGCCGGTAGGCAAACTGTCGAAAGCGATGAACATCTAACTGAAACGACGTAACTGTAAATCGGCGTCCACGATCGACCGAATAAAAAACCTGTTCCTTCCCCGGACGAACAACGATAAATACAGAAATGAAATTCGAACGAACATAGAAAAAAGGATGGGCACCGATCGCTCGCAAATCGCGTTCTCGTTTCCTAAATTCGCCATCCGTGATCCCGGCGATCTCGACGGCGATCTGCGGCCGTCGATCGGCGACCGAGCCGGGTGTGCTTCGATTTCGTTTACAAAACAGAACGAAATTTCGTTATTACGTCTAATCTTCACTGTCTCCGCTCCGCGAACCGCGGAGCTGTTTTGGTAAAAATCGGTCGGGCTGGCCGCAGCCACCGGCCTCGCGAGCCTTCTCTCTCTTCCATCGTGGCGTTCCCCTCTTTCCCCCCCTCCCCTTTGTTCACAATGTCTGGACAAGTCGTCGACGATGCCAGGAATCGGCATGATCGTTAAAGAACGCGCGTCGTGCTGAGAAGAGATCGCGAGACCGACGGCTGAAAAGCTCGACCAGCTGCTTCTGTTTAAGTGACAAACAGATCACTATAACTCGCGAGCTCGTCGCGTATTTTTTTGTTTGTTCTCATCGTCACTCTTTCATTCTTCCATTCTCGCTTTCATTCTTACTCACTTTCTCTCTCTTGGCGCTCCCTTAAATTACATGTTACCTTATTGTTTGTTACTGTCGTTATTGTTTATAATAGCGCTATCGTAAGATTATTATGATACAAGTAGAATCGTCCGTTCGCACGGCCAGCGACAATTTCTTTTTACAGCCTGACTTTGTTTCGCTTCGTGGATACGCACCGCTCGATTTCGCGTGTTTCGTGAAGCGCTCGCTCGAATCGATTTTCGGGGGCGTCGTTTGCGAAATGCTTCCCGCGGGTTCTGTTAATTCGGAAGATTTTACGCTGTTGCAGGAAACCTTTGATTCTTCGGATTTGCGCCGCGGATGATCTATTTTCTAGCCGTTCGCCGAATGTGCACCGAGGCGCGCCAAGATTCGTTGTAAATCTGCACAGAGTGCAGCGAATTACAAATTCGGCTGGATCGGTTGCTCCGCGAGCACAAGCTCCGGTAAACAGCGAATCCGCCGTCGCGCTCTCATCGGGCGTTAAAGTCTTCGGAGCGACGCCGGCGCAAACTCTCCGTGATTCGATTAGCCCGGCCCCGCTATCCATCAAAATCTGTACGCAAGACAATCCGTCATCCTACTCCCGCGGAAACACTCGAATTTCCATGTTGCCATCGTACAAATTAGCAGAGATACAATTTTTGTTCTTTCCCCGAAGCCCGATGCATCTTCATCGCTGGTCACGTTCCCAGCGTCGCCAGATTCACTCGGATTAGTATGACTAATTTCCTACTAAACAGATTGCACATGATTCGCGGACGAACGAATAAAAATGTCAACAAAGTACAACGAAACTTTCGTTTCGTTCGTTGATTTCATAAATCAACGAACGAATCCGTCATTCTATAATAGACGCGAAAAATTCTGACGAAATTATCAATTTTGTATATCTTTTCTTCTTTTCACAAGTTGCATAACGCAACTTCTTAGAAACAATGTTAATTCAGTTAACCAACGAAATTTACGATACAGAGAAAAATATGAAAAACCGAAGCCAGTGAAACTCTTCGTATTTCACAAAGTATTCGAATGAGATATCGCGACGCGACATTTCGAAACAATCGCCGAGACGGTCGAATAAATTTCGTGGTTCCTTGAACCGCGTAATTACGATTGTTTACAGCCGAATCGCGGCGGCTTCGAGGTCGACGGTTTCACGGAACGCGTTCGTCGAGCTAGCAGAACGCGAAACGGTCCGAGGACGGATCGGAGCCGGTCGAGGTAAGCTGGCTTGGAATCGGTAAGAAATTTGATTAGATCCTTTCTGCTTACAGCTCTCGATGCACTTCCGATTCGCTCGAAATCCTCGTATCCCGGTCGCGAGCGATCCACAAAATTCGGGCGCGCATCAGCACCGCCGTTAATTTCATTGGGCCACGCCCACGCACGCTACGATCATCGTGGATTCAGCGCGGCGAAACTATCCAACAATCCTCGTCTGATCGACGAACGACACGGTACAAGAGAGACTGACCCCAATGAAACCGATATAAGTCGTGATTTTCGCGCGAAGAGGATACGATGTACAATTTGCAAGTCGAAAATCTAACACCTGAGCTTGAACGCGGCACCCGAAACCTGCTTCTCCTAGCAACGAAAGATTTTGTACTCCACCGTTTCGCTCGGCCATCCAAGGATTGTTCTCTGGTTCGCGTGTCTCTCCCTGCTCGTCTTCGTTCTCATCGATTTGTACACAAAATACCAACTATCTGTGCTGGAAAACGCACATACTGCTTGTACGGCTCGATATAATATTTATATATAATATATACATATACGGTGCTATATATATATTATATATAACATATCTAATATGTATATATGTATAATATTTATATATGTATACGACGTGTCGTTTTTCTTTTTTGTGTTCCACCCTCCGGCGCAGCTCTTTTCGTTTGCCTAGAGCTCAATATTTATAAGCATTCGTTTCGCGTTTGAATCGCGGCTCGCGATTGGTCGCCTCGAAAAGAAATATTTACAGTCGCGGGCTCGTTTCTCTCTGTCTCGCGCCGATCCGTCTCGCGACGAACAATGGCGGAGATCGCGTGCAAAAGCAGGACAAACGACGGGAAAAGAAACGCACCGCGACAGTGTGTCGCGGCCGTTCTCGTTTCTCCTGTCATTGTTTCTCGCATTTTCTCTCTCCCTTTCATCCTCGCCTAAAATATTTCTTCCCCGTGGATACATCGCTCTCACGCAACCCTCCTCCGGGTCTCTTAGGCGAACCAGGAGGTCGGCACTCGCATAACCAGGCACTCGGTCTCGCACACAGAGCACACGCGATCCCGGAGAAAATCGATTACAATTCGTTCGACTACACGGTAGCCACGGCGCTCGACCAATGGTACGAGAGAGAGACGCTTCGAGAAAACCTCCCCCTTACCGTCGCGCTCTCTCCTACGCCCTTGTAGTATAAGATCGTCGACTGACGAATAAACAATTCTCCCTATTTACAGTGTACACGATTGCTGCCTGGAACTCGGCGGAGTAAAAATGCTCGTGGTTAACGCTCGACGGCGGACCGCGGATCCAACTGCGAGATCATGCTCTTTTCGTTTCATTCATTCGCACCCCGTTTAAGAGCGACGAGATCTTGTGTAATTCAATCGCTGGGGCGTGCGCGCGCGCGAATCCAAATAGAATTTAATCACAAATTTTTGTATTTTTCTTTTTTCTTTTTCTTTGACGCTTCCATATTTCTTTGGCGAAGAATTCTGACGAGATCGTTCCTTTCGACACCAAAAATATGTACAATTTGATCTTTTTGTTTAAGTTCACCGCAATGTTTGCCGCTTTTTTGAGACACGTTTACGTATAGTATAATACCACGTCGCTTTTGTATCAAATATTATAATTGTAATTTTCTATCGAACGTAGAAAGTCGAGATATTCATCACTGCGAAGAACAATTGTGTATTTCTACGGAAGATTCGTCTCGAAAAAGGGTCGAAATTCGATTATATTTTCGTTGCAAGTATTTCTCTTCATTTCTTTTTTTATTGTGTCCTCAACATCCATACAGTGACTCGCGCATATCTGTGACCAGATTATGTACAAAAATGACAAATTTGTAATAAAATCAACACTGATCAGACAATACGAAACAAGTAACAAGGATAAACGATCAAGAATTAAATAACAATTTTAAAACAACAACAACGCTAACGTCGATCACTTTGTAAAACCGCAAAAACGCGTAGCTCGTCGACAAGATTTCCGTTCAATTTAGAAACCGATAGAACCGCCAATTAAGTTTCGAATTCATACGTTTCTTATGAAAGAGTCACGCTCGCAACGAAGATCCGCGGTCTGTCGATGAATCTTACATGTATGTTCCTTCTTTTCCGATTGGCTTTAGATATCGAACAGCTGAGTTCGCCGGCGAGTTGCGGGAAGGATCGATCGTCCGATCCCCCCCGCAGCATTGGACGCTCGTTAAAACTAGACACTACTTATTTAGAAGAAGAATCGATCTCGCGATCGAGTTTTCCATCGGAAAAGCTGCTCAAAAAGCTCTCCGATGCAAAACTCTTTTTTTTTCATTTCGGTTTTGCATTTCTTTTGATTTCCTTCGATACGGAAGAAGTCGACGATCAAGATCTCCTTACGCTATTCCTCGCGATCGATTGATCTAGTGACTGAGACAGGGTTGCTACGGCGATCGAGGCACACTTCGATAAATTATTTCGACTTGGAAACCCCACGGTGTTTAGGTAGTTGCGCGCGAAGTAATGTTGCTCGATTTTCGTTCGGAAACCAGAATTTTAGGAGAGGAATATTTTCTCTATCAAGAGACTTGCCGGACTAAAACTGCTAGAAACAGTTTACTTACACTTGTTAAATTGTATCTGAACGTGTTCGCGAAGCGTAATTGTAGTGCAGAACACAACACTTCCCACAACACTCTGCCTGTTCTGTTTTTCGTTGACAATAACATCTTTGATCGCAAAAATTATCTTCTCCCCTCAATCAAGCTTCGTCAAGCATCTTCGAGTTTCATCGAACTTTCCATTCGCTATTTATTCAACATCACGGGATAAAGATTCGGCCGCGAAATTCTAGAAAATTATTTGAAAATTCTCGTATGCGACAATAACGTTGAATCGACGATCACTAGACGTGAGTCAAAGATTTTGTGCAATAAAGCTATGTTAAAATTCTGAGAATGAGGATCCATGCTACAGCCTGAAACAATTCCGCCGTTCAGTCATGGTCTATCGAACTGCCCCCGTCGATTTCTTACCGATCGACGACTCCTCCGCGATCGAAGCGAGCGAGGATCGCGCATCCCAGCCAGCGATCCGCGATAACAATAATAATAATGATAATAATAATAATAAAAATAATAATAATAATGATAATAATAAAAATAATAATAATAATAATCGCTAAAGGTACGCGCTATGTATACTCCTGTACAAAGATTTCGTGTAACTGCACGACGAACATATCCCTGCCTACTTTCGCCGGTCAATCGAGCGTCTATTTATTCCATTATACTTGTTCGTTTCTCCCATATTAATTTCAGTTATCTTTACAATAGTCGATGAGCGTCCGCACCGCAAGGCAGCTCCGCAAAATTATGTGAGTCAGAGAGAGAGAGAGAGAGAGAGAGAGAGAGAGAGAGAGAGAGAGAAAGAGGGAGAAAGAGGAAGAGACGGAGAAAGAGAGAAAGAGGGAGGAAGAGAGAGAAAGAGGGAGAAAGAGAGAGAGAGAGAGAGAGAGAAAGAGTGAGAGAGTGAGGGGGGAGGTAGAGAGCAAGAAGAGAGAGACAGCCGAAAAGAGCGACTACACCTGGCAGTAAAGGAAAAAATTCTTGTCGACTCGAGCAAGATTGTCATTGGATCCCGGCCCTCTTCCGCTCCGAACGCGACACCGGCTGCACACCTATAAACGAATAATAACGCCGGTAACGTTGACGCGGTATAAACGCGAGCCGTCGGCCAAAATCGGCTGGAAATCGCGAGAGCGCCCGCGAGAGCACTTATCGTAAATCACATTGCAGCGGTCGGCGAAAGTCGCGAGAAGCTTCGTTGCGGTTTGTGTTTCTATTCTTGAAACGAGGATAACGTCAACGCATAAAAATAGTCGAATTTTCCATACGAAACCACGAAATTCAAAATTCACACAGCTCCGTTCTTCCCTTCAAATTACCCGCACACCGTGATAATTCTGCTTCTTCCTTTAATTAGACGGTTTCGCTGTCTTCGGCTCGCTCTCTCCCCCTCTCCGAGTATTTCGCAAGAAGATATATTCACAAGACGTGTCACACGAACGGTAAAGGGTTAAAATTCGCGAAGATCGTTTTTTTTTTGTTTTACGTATACACACGGTGATGCCTTGGTGACACTGATGATGAGCTAGCTTCGATGGCGAAAACGAGACGAGGTGTGTGTGTGTTTTTTACATTTCCAGACGGAAGCTCGTTCGCGATCGCTCGCGCGTGAATTAATTAGCGCACCCCGTCCTCCCCGCCGCTGTCCATCTTGATGATCACGCTCGAACTTGTTAACTACGCCTTCGTTGACGCGACAACGACGAACGGATTCTACGAAACGTAGCTTGTCGATCCCCTTTTCGGCGTTCCGATTCTCTTCCGCGTCGTGGCCCCCGGTATTTAACGATCCACGCGAACCCTGCGAACCGCTAGACGATTCCGCACCCCTAAATGGCCAATCGTCGGAACTGTTTCGTGCCTCGCGCGATTCCACGCCCCATTGTTACAACTAAACGCGTGCAATCGGAAACCGTTGCAACAGCGAAACGCTCGATACTTCGCGCTCCGTGTCAGACGTCTGTAACGAGCTTGAACACGAGAAGTGTTCTTAGTCGAGTGTTCGATAAAACGAAGAAAGATTGGATGAATAAACTAGTGCCTTGACCGGAAAGATCGTTCCATTCTTGTGCAACGTGGATTGTTACAAATCCGATCGTTCTTACACGATTCTGATCGGTGATCGCGTTTAAAAGATCGTACGCTTGATATTTTCAGCTTCCAACGAAATAATTCGGTAAATAATCGTAGATAAATACAAATTCCTGTGTAACGAATTTCCATGAAAAATGTTCACTTGAACAGAAATTAGCAAACTTCTTTCATACAGAGTTCACAGTTGTGAAAAAGGCTCTCAGACTTCCACCAAATGAAGCGTCTAATCGCGATAAAGAACGACCTCTCCGAACAAGAGATTTTTAGGGGATCCACGGTCTCGGTGGAAAATCGATGGAAAAAAGATCTCGAAACAGTTCCGACCCGCGTAAATCCTCCTCGAGGCTCGATCGATCTGAAATCACTTACTCCATTATCCTCGAAAAGCTTCGTTCGAGGATCCGTGCGTCCCCGGCGTTTCGGTTCCTCGGGATAATTTAGCTACCCCAACGATCCCAAAGTCCTCGTTAACGCGGAGGAGAGAAGTCACGGCGGCTCACGAATTTCGTAACAAATTTCGTTGCGTCGCTTGCATCCGGTAAATGCAATAGCCGTTTAGGAAGCGTGCTAGACGCCGGTCCGTCAGGCGGGAAAGCCTGCCGGATGAAGGATACGCGCGTCACGGCGGCGAACGAGCTTCCCCCGATGACGATAATCGTCTAGTGGCCCGCCGCGATTGATTAGGGAGGCGGATCCACCCTTATCACAATCTTGAAGCGACGTGGTACGTCGTCAGCGTGGACGGCGGACGACGGTGAATCGGCGATGATAACGGTGAAAACGATGAAACGTCGACGGCGAATGACGGCAACGTGAAAAAAGAAAAAGCCCCACCGTGAACGTCGGCTGAGTACCGCCCGTTATTTCCTCGCAGGTGTATGATCCCCCGGAAACAACGAGATACCCGACTTTTTATTCTTTCTTTTTATCCAGCCTCGACGCGAGGCCACCACACTGCACCTTCACCTATACCCGCACCACACTGTAGCACCTCAACACATTGCAATTGTCATGGCCTGTGGAACCTGGAACCGACGAATCACCAGATTTAATTAGTTCGCTGATC